TCAACATGGAGAATTCATAGGGCTAAAGGAAAAAGTTGCTGCTACAGTTACACTGTTTCCCCTTTTCAGTGGTTTCTCCACAAACCTTACCTTGACAAGGGAAGACACCGGCAGAAGGAAGAATGCAGCAGGCAGTGATGCTCTTGAACACTCCTCCTGGAAAGATGGGGTAGCAGGGCAAACATCATAGAAGTTCTAATAGAGATACACCAGTAGATGCACGTATTTCTGTTTCCAAAGACATCCTCAGTAAAGAGAGCTCTACTGTTACGAGCAAAGTGGCTGCAATGCTTGCTCAAAACCCAACACAGCCCAGCAATTGGGGTCAGGAACGCAGACGATGAGCGTATCACTGGTAGCAACATATGATAGAAGGGGGTCCCATAATTCCCAACTTCCAATTTCAGACAAATACTGGGGGGCATTAAAAAAATAACCCAACCAACCAAATATAGCCAACCCAAAACAATCTCCACCTTCTAGACTCAAGCTTGCAGTTACAGTTCAGCTAGAAAGCCATGCAGGCATATGGGGAGATGTGGAAAGCTTCTAAACACACATACACGATGCCGATGTCAAGCATGAAACACACACATATGGATTCAGCTGGCTCTTCTAACTCCCTTTACAAGAATTATCCCTAGAAAGACAAGATATTCCAGCTGACCACCAGCTCTTCAGTCAATCCCAGGTCAAAGGGCAATGTGTCAGTAGGGACACGACGTTGTTCCTTAGGAAGAGCTTAACATACTGCAACGATGAGAACCTCATGCATAGCAGATTCAGTCAGAAGCTGGACATAAAAATGAGGATCATACCACCTTGTTATTTCTGCTCTCTTCAACGTCCCTAATTTTGCCAGCAGTGACCAGAACAATCCAGACAGACATTCAGGAGGAGGTGGGGAAGCACCTCACCCTGGTTGTTAGATATGGTCCACAACTACCAGATTATTTACATCAACAGCTACATCGTTTTCAGTGTGGCATAATTCAGCCTAACTAGTTATCCCTCATTTCTATGTGCTCCTAGGAAAGTAGCCAACTTCGATTGGGATGGAGTAGAGATATGAATGTGTCTCCAGGGATGTAAAGCTAGCAGGCTGTTCCCAATTTCAGCATGCTGCAGAAGAGAAACTGGTGAGAAAGAGTTGGAAAGGAAGCCAGCTTCAGAGCGCGAACAAATCTGAAGATTTCAAAAGTAACCAGATGGGACTGCATGGAGGAGTTTATTTATATATAAACCAACTTTGCAAGGTTGAAAGGATTTTTCGTAAAATAAGTACTTGCCTAAAAATACTTGATCTTTGGCTGCTAACAAACTCCAAGAAAAAGGGCCAGAGGACTTGTCCCTACAGTGTTCACAAAACCACTTAAACCAAACCTATAAAGCTGGGTGTCACAGTTGCAGTGGAGTTAGTTCCATTTTTGACCTGCACTTACTCCAGAAAAGTGCACAGCAATAGAATCCCTGGATAACTAGACACGTATCTCTGAATGAAACAACAGTAAGCATATGCAAGACAAATCCTGGCCAGCACTTAACACTTTCGGCAATGCTGAATCTGTAGCACAAGTGGGTTTTAGACTTTTTTACTCCGAATTTTGCATTTTATTTACACCACCTCTAAATAAATCCTAGTACCCACAGTCAGTACTAATTAATTCCAGAAAAAAATCTATCAAAGATCATGTCCGCTGCTCATTATATTGCTTGTTTTAAACAGGCTTACTGACTAGCACCCACATTTAGGTTCAATTCCTACAGCAAGGCCATGCTTTCAGTTCGCAAAGCTTAAAAGTCCTACCATATGTGCAGGATGCCAACTTCATCCTGAAGTAAGAAAATTCCAAGCAAGGTTTCACAGTCCTAGTAGGAAAGGGTTTTTTTGGCCTACATAAAGTGGCACGTGCTAGCATAGATATGTTGACCATACCAATAACAAAACAAGTGTTCTGTCTTGTTTATAAAAGGAGTAAGTGTTGGGCGAGGACAATGGAAGCATGGGTAGTGGTTCAAGAAAAGCTTCATGTCCCCTCTTCTGTGCAGGTAAGAATGATCAACTGCACAATTCAAAAGCCAGAGTTCAATTCCACAGCCTATTTTATCCAAGAGGTGTTAAAGACCCCACTACAAGATCCAAACAGCAGACAAGAAAAGCGCCCTGATTTGATTGCAAGACAGAGACTTCACCAGGCAAGAGCAAGCAGTAGGCACTGTCACTTGGCAGCAGTGACGAGAGAGAGGTGGAGAGATGCAGAAGTAGGGGAAAGAGAAAGCCTAAAATTAACCAGTAGCAGGGAAGTAGAAGATGATCAAAGAACGCAGAATCAGGACTAAAGAGAAGGGGAGTGGCAAGATGAAGACAATATATAAAAGATGATGAATTGAAGAGCAACTGCAAACTATTTATCACCTCATTAATCCCCAAAAATGAAGAGGTGAGCACAGAAAACACACTACAGAAGAAGAAATACTGTTTTTACAGCAGGATTTAAACAACATACAAAGCTAGATAGAACCACATGCCGAATGGAAAACTTTCTCTGGATTATGTGGAATAAGAGGCAGCTTTTAGATAAGGAGTACTAGAATGCCTGAATCTGAGATGTGAGGTTGCTCTGAAACCAAGACAGCTGAAGAGTCTCTGCACTTGTAAAACAGGCAATTGACAACCCATCGTAACACACGGATAATTAAAAATCGACTCTATTGAAGAGCTACTCGTTGTGCTGGTGCCAGCTACTCTCTGCACTAGATGAGGGAGCCTGTGGGGAAATTAAAAAAAAAAGCCCAATAGCATATTGGATACAGCATGTAGCAAGAATATTAAAACTGCACAGGGAACCTTATTACAGAACTATTTTCAACACTGACAGTATCCAGACACTTAAAAGCAAAACCCCATGAACACAGCAATTTCTCTCCATGAATTAAGCATAAAAATCAACAAGGTTTTTCTACAGTGAAAGACCTACATGTTTTGAACAAAGTCTTAAACAGCCATCAATTTATCTACTAGTTCCATTAGCCACTATTCATTGCCAATCGGAAAAGCACTGCCAGGAAGGAAAGCAGAAATGCTGTCAGAGGAGCTTGATGTGCCCATGCATTCATTTGCCCCACAACCCAGCAGAGTTCAGCAACACTTGGCTTACAGCAGCATACTGAAGCAGCGTGTTTTTCCAGTGGAAAAAACCCCAATCCATATTTACACACCATGCTTATTGCTGTGGATTCCATCAGGCAAATGCCAAAGATTCATTTACCACTTTCTGGGGACCTTGCTGCTGCATAACCTTACGCTGGTGAGTAGCTTGACACTTTTGCCCTCCTATTCCACCATTTGAAAACAAAGTCAGACCAGCATTTATCAGTTTAATTAGTAACACGCTCGGCATTTCCTCCTTGAATTTCTTTACATGAGCTGTTTCTGGCAGAAAGGGAACAAAAAACATTTAGTTAACCTTTCTCCATGACAAGAGACTTAAATAGAAATGAACTCCTGCCTGCAAATTTGCTTGACACTCAAATTTCTTAAACCATTAAACTGAAGTAAAGATTTATGGTCAATTAAGATTTCCCAATTGAGTTTGCAAAACTCAAACAAAACCCCTCAACCCAGCAATGCTGATCACACTTTTTTTTGACCTTGCTAAGCATTAAGTGCATTTAATGCAAAAAGGCAACCAAACTGCATGTATTTTGCACAAAGTTGGCAGTCAACCCTATGACTTACCTCACTGAGGAGGAAACATAAAACACAGAAAATAGAGCCTTTTTTTTTTTTATTCCCCTGGTCTTCACAGAGACAATGTGTATAAATCTTACCTGTGGTTAAGTCATAAAAAATATATATTCAGGAACAGGTTAAAATAGATACAATTCATCTGATGATGTATAACTGCAACAGAATGTACACGGCTGCACTTAGACAGGAGTTGAACAAATTCAGTTAGGCACATCTAACACAACTGAAAAAAACCAAAGAATGTTAGTATTTTAAATTCTGGCCATTACAAATTAGATACAAATACAGGTAGTAATGCTATAGAAGAAGATATATATTAGGTCACCTGAAACTCAGGTAGTTCTACAGAAAGAGAGATACTAATGAAATTATTCTGCCGACTGCTAAATGACACGTAATTCATGTCACATGTAAACTAGGGATAGTGTTCTGCCACTCAAAAATGTGCATCCAGTTCTAGTACTAGTCTTTCATATGAAAGTATAGTTTTTTAAAAACCAAAATTACCTAAATAGTTATACTATGAACAGCATACGGAATCCTGTTGTGTACAGCAGAAAGTGACAATGCTGACAATAGCTAGCACGTTCCAAGATAAGACTGTCAGAAAAGGGCAGATCTTTAATGCACAAAAGAAAGTGTTGTAGGATTAGAAAAGTATTATCTATTATTTAAGAATTATTTGTTCATTCATGTATTTCACTTTAGCATGATTTCCCTAATGGATGCTATAAGTTGAGAAGTCATTCAGATGTGGTGTTCTACTTGCTCAAATTCTTATCTCCTCGTAATTGGAAACGTCTCCACATATTTACTACATGAAGCACCGACACACTCATAAATACAGCTTTCAACATAACGTGTTCCAATTGATAGAATCCATTTTATTTTTATGTTTGTACCTTAGACATCAAGAAGCAACACCGCACAAATAATAATGTTATTCAGAAGAGGCAAAATTAAAAAAATTAAACTATAAAAGTGCTTAACCTATGAAGCACACTGCTTGCCAGTTAGCCAACAGAAAAAAGAAGTTGACAGTGACTCCTATTCTGCTTTATGTTTCCCTGTATATACATACATAGAGAGAGGAAGGTTAAGTCACCAACAAAAGTCGCATTCAGCTCCCAGCACAGACAATACCAGGTCGACCAACACCACCAGAAGACTTTTTTGCTATACAGTAGCTTAGGTTTTGTTTTTTCACTTTTTTTTTTTAGACCAAAGCTTACACAATTACTACTTTTTCTTCTCAACTGATAGTTATGCTACTTTAATTTTACATTTTTTTAAGCCAGATAGCATGCTAGCTTCAGGTTTAAAAATCTTTACATATATTCATTCATACATATGTATAAAATACTAAAACCTTAAGAACAGAGCCCTATAAAGTGAGGTTCACTGTTTCTGCACTTAACTTGCCACCACTTAGACTGTGAATCATTGCAATCATATTGGAGTGTTTGTTCAATTCTTCCTTCTGTAGCTTTACAAGGGCTTCTTTTTCTTCCAAGCGTCCTTCCAACTGGGATTTTTGAACTTCCAGAGAAGATGCCTGCAGAAACAAACAAAAAGGTTATAATTTCCTCCATCATCAATTAAAAATATACACAGTGCAGTGAAAGCTGGGTGGCCTGGTGCTGAATTTAAGCAAGTACGAAAGCAGTCCAGTTTTACAATTACAAGCTTGTTTCAGAAATACCTCTCTCAGCTATACATTTGGAGCACGAGTGATTACAGCTACGGCCACACTTCAAAACATTCCATACCATAGGAAAGCACCAACCCCCGTGTTATTACTGTCCAATTTAAGCAGGGGTGTTCACAGTTAAGCCATCCACATTTCATTTCAACCCCCACACCAGTAAATACTTACTGAGAACAAGGTACTTATTTGCTATGTACTGGATAATACTGCCTGGAGAGCTTAGACTTCGCTTCCAGGGACTGAAAACACAGCAAATGTTTTGACAGACGGCATTGTACTCCGTTTCCACGTACAATGAATCTCTGCCTTGTGAGTTTACAGGGAAGGACATACAGGCTGCACTGAAGTTTTAGGGATTTGTTTTTTTTTTTTTTTAAATATTACCTAATTAACTTAGTGTGGCCAAACTAGTCCCTGTTTTGAGAAGAGACACTGTTTTTCTTAGAGATAAATAATAAAATAGGTATTCTAATACAATCTCGAAGATCAAAAAGATCAGATGCATTTTGGTGCCTGCATGTGTAGCATACGTACCTTAATTCAGGACACCAGACAGGGGAGAAGGTAAGCCAATCCACATTTTACAGTAGTCAAAACGACTGAAAAAGAGCGTGCTACATCCTCTTAATTAATAATGCACTATGGGTGCCATTTTTTTACTCCCACACATTATGTACACACACACCATGCCTCATACAGCGTCACCAGAGCCTGACCCCAACTTGTCTCTTAAATTCAAGCTCAGATACTCAAAACATAAAAGGTATATGATTAAATCTGAGACAGTTTCTTCTTGTCCACTGTAAGGACTGTGTAGTGTCTCTAGCCACTCTACTAGTGAAACACTGATTTACCAACTCTATCGGTCATATGGGTATTAGAATTCCAGTTTATAGAATGCAGGTGCAAATAATTCCTTACCTTAATACTCAGTTCTTTCCTTGCTTGTTCCGTTTTACTCAATTCCTTTCTAAGAGTATCTACAGCTTGTTCCATATCTGTTTTTTCTTTCTGTTGAGCTTTCAGCTTTTCTTCCAGAACTTTTATTTTCTGTTGCAAGGCTTAAGAAAATGAACATATTAAAAGATGGTTTGCCGAACTTAGAAAAAGAGATACTGCATTGCCTGCGAAACAAGTATTTATTTTCTTTATAGACTCAACATGGATGTTAACAATTGAATTACTGAGTAGCGCCACCTACTGCTAAATTTTAGTAGTTGCTTCCAGCCATTTGCAGAACAGTTAAATTAAGCTCTCGTAATTCGCAGTACCTACAGAAAAGTTTTAATGGACATGCTGTAAAAAGATCCCGAAGGGATGTACAGTGCTGTGCAGAGATTCAGTGAAGCCCATATAGTCTGGGAAATCATGTATATGTATCCTTTCAAGAAAGGGAAAAGCTACATTTGTCACTCAACTGTTAAATCACATATCCCTGACTAAGATTTCCAAGTTACTTAGTAAAAACACAGCTGCTTATCTAGAGCACTTAATAACAACATTTAGTCAATACAGTTAGTTCTCCAGGTTCAGTGACCTTTAGGTAAGTGACTTACTCGCTATTTTGCCATCTCTCTCCTGTAGCTGTTGCTGCAATTCTTTTCTGTGATTTTCAGTTTCTACCAACTGTGCAACAGTCCTGTAATTTCAGAGAAATAAATTTTAATGATCAGAGTCAGATATACCCCCATTTCTTTCTCCTAAGAAGCTAGAATGATTTTTGTATTAGTTCCAATTGCTGTCAGGAGCTTCAAAGAAACAAACCCATGAATTTGCAGGGTGTAAGTTCAGAAAGATTTTATTTCCTTACCCCCTTCCCCCACCATGAAAGCAATTTCACTTCTCTGACCAGGGACACATGGTAGAAACTACTGAAAAGGTTCATACCTGGACCTTAAACACCAGAAACTGTTCCCTTTAATTCTGGCCACAAAGCATTCAAAACACTGTGATAGAACTGAAATTGTAATTCAACCAGAGTCAAAATTCACTGCCATTAGTTAGTGACTGAGTATGTTGAGTTTTCAGCTCTTCGTACGCTCCCGAATCAACACCACCATTAGGAAAACCTGTTTTGAGTATTATCCATGCAAACATATCTATGTATAAAGATTTTTCCAATACCACGCTGAACATCTTCCAGATTGTCACCCGGCAAACCCAACTATTTCATAAGGCATGGCCGTAGCCCCTGCACAGGTCTGCTGCAGCCCTCCTCAGTAGTTAGGGCAATACTGAGTTTCCACAGTCATTTAATATGTAGGTACTGTCATCTACCAGCATTATAGCTGTAAACTGAGCACTTCATACTCTGTGAAGCGAATCTACTTTTTCCATCACTAGCTAGCCTAATTTCTAAGCAACACTCTGCCACTTGCCTTGCCTAGACAGCATCTACTGCCACTCTTTTGTTTACTCGTTTATCCACTTACTGACTACCGGTTTCCAAGCTGCAGCCTCTAGCAAGAGAGGAGGGGAGTGTATTTTCATGGCCTCGTCTTATTTGTGGCAATTCAAGAACATCTTTACGATAACTGCTCCTCCAACCTGCCTTTGAAGAGGGGCAGCTTTCATCAGAGTATCTCCCCAATTACACTGAGCTGCATATTGCACTGGTGAAAGTAAGTGTCCAACTTTATTCAGTAGCAAGCTAATGGAAAAATTTGCATACCAATACATTCAAATCTGAACTCGAGGCAGTGATACTGCTCGAATCAGTGGACTGCTGATTACAGACAAGGCAAGAGCCTGGAAGGATGAAGTGAACTTTGCAAGGAAAACCAAGAATAGCTTTTTTATTTCTAAACTGGATTCAGGGCCTGCCTATAAGTACATTTTAAAAGACACCTTCTGCAAAATTAAATATTAAATAAAATTTCTCAAATAGGAACACTATGCTCTTAGTTACATTGACAAAAGGTTCATCAGACTTCTATTTTAAGCCATCAAAAAGGAAAAAGTTATAATTAGTCCTCAAGAAGACGTAAGTAAGGCTAGTGTTATGGTCGAGGAATGAAGATTTAGACCACAGACAGAATAACAACCATCACTGTTTCCAGTATAGCTCTTAAATGTATTAATGTAGTAGGGTTGGGTTTTTTTTCTGATCTGATAACACTGCAGAGAAACCTTGCAGGCTAAAAGGGAGTACGTGAAAAATTTTTGGATGATAACATCATTCAAGAGTTCAACAACTAGAAAGACACCTCCCCGCTCCCCACATGTACCCAGGAATTAGATGGTTTTCATTCCTCTTTTTAACTCCTACTGTTGCTGAAGTCTGTGGGTATTCCTCCCTGCCCCCAACCAATACAGAAGCAAACAAAATAAAGCACCAAAGTCACTACATCTAACATAAACATATAAAGCAGCCTTGAAGCAACTTTTGCTTCTTCTAACTCCACTTCTCAAAGGTTGCTTAAAGCACAATTGAAAAATTGAAACTAAAGTGCTATTTAATTTCACTGTTTATCTTCAATTTACTTTACAAAGACTGAATTGAACTTACCTGTCATTCTGCTGCTTGAGGGATTCGCTTAGTTTCTTCATTGCATCCATTTGTTTATTTAGGGAATTGCACGTAATCTGTAGATCTTTATATTGTCTCTCAGTTGTTTCAAACCTACAGATGAATTAGGGGATTACGGTTGAAAAGCTTAAGTGCTTTTGAAGAGCTTTTCCTTTAATTGTTTTTCAAAGAAAAATACTTGACATCCTCTGTGCAATCATCCCACTCAAGCTAAAAGCAAGGTGTTTTGGGGGTTAGGGGTAGAGCTTGGTTGTGAATTTTTTGGTGGTAGTTTGTTGTTTAAGTTGTGGGTTTTGTTGTTTTGGGATTGTGGTAGTTTTTGGTGGTTTTTGGTTTTTTTTAAACCAAACATACTTGGAGGAAGAAACAACCCCAAAAAACCACACAAACCAAGCTTCAGTGGATCCCTTAAATATCCTTAATTATTAATAACCAGGAAGCAACCTTCCTTCAGTAGAAGACTCTTTGGAAGTGACAAAACATATAGATGCCTTTAGAAATTTGATGTGCACAAACTGTTATAAATTAGCTATTTGCAGTCATCTTTTAAGGGACCCTGAATCAGTCTATGGCCTCCAGCTGTCTTGTTGAAGACAATGCAAGGTGTACTTAATACAAAAACTCATGAGGCCGGTGTCATGTTCTAAATGTTTTCAGACTTTGCTACCAAAAGGAAAAGTCTTTCCTCTAATGTCAGTTATCTGATTGTTTTTAAGGAACAGCATATTTGAAGCGTGCAGGTTGTTTAGCTTTTGTTTTATAAACACATTGTAAGGACCAAAAGCTATTTTAATCTTACTCTAAAGAATTTACAACTGTTAGATACTAGATTTTGTTTCTTTCTTTTATTTCACAGAAATTGTGAACATGTATTTGACTAGAGCGTATGGCTGCATACAATTCAAACAAAAAAGGAGGCACTTCCAACAGTGACCATACTAGATACTTATTCAAGAAACACCCTAATGGACAAGAGCTGTATAAATTTTCTTCCCTCAGTGGCTCCCTTACTGGTAGCAGTATGCCTTCAAAACCATTTAATACAATGCCTGCTCCCATTATCAGGCAAGAAGCTTGCTCTCAGTGTTATCAGCCTCTTTGCCTTGCTGACACACAAGACCAACTCACAAGTTGAAAAGCCAAAGCTCTTTTAAGCCCTTACTCTTCCAAAGCACATTATGTTTTCATAAATTCTTATGAACTTCATCTTTCACACGTCCTTTTTTAGCTTAAGATCCTAAAGAAATAATGCTTATAAATAATTCAGGACACACAAGGTTCCTCCCTATCTCACTTTTACCTAATTTCAGTCAAATTTGCTACAGAAGTGATCAAAGATGCAAGCTCCTACTTTACGCAGGTATATGGTATTGGCTGCTTTTCCAGACACTTGATAGCATTCCCTCAAATGGCATATAAGACCAAAGAAAAAAGCTGTGAGTATGGCCAAATACTAATAAAAACTAAGGATTGTTAATACTGGGTTTTAGAGAACAATGGTCCCTTTTATACAAAGCTCATGCTATTTCCTGAACTGGACCTTCAACATCTACAGCTTTAGTTCTCACTACATTTAACATATTAACTTCTTGAATGACTTAAGTTAACCTCATGGGCAAGCATATAGAAGGGCGGGGTGGGAAAAAAAAGAATTTTTCACTTAAAACCATGAAATAGCATATAAAGTTGCCCTTCTAATGTGCTTAGCCTTAGCCCAGTAAAGGGCTTCACCTGTCTCTGAATATCTGACCCTCCTTACCTCTGAAGAAGATCAACAGAGGATTTTTTCAGTATTTCATGTTCTTCAGCCACCGTTTGCAATTTCCTGTTGTGCTGAAAGAGCTGTTCAATATCAGTCTGTGCTCGTTCAGATTCTACCTGCTGAGCTTTCAGCAGATCATTAAGTTCTTCATTTTTTCGTTCCGCATCCTTCAACATTGCAGCAAGAGTTCTTGCCTTCGAGTGGAAAGACACCCCCCACAAAATCCAAACCCCACAATTACAAACAATTCTTTCACAAGTCACTTTGTAATAGGCATATTTGAAGCCACAAACAGAACACTAAAATGCCATCAGACACATTAGGTAATGGATTTTTTCTCTTACCTAGTATTAACTACAAATTAATTTGTTCACTCTAAATTCCTTTAGCTCCCTCTATAGACAGTGTGAAGGAGGAAGGGAGGGAAAAAGTAAAAGATAATACATTTTAGCTACGGATTTAGTAACCTGTCCAATCCGTATTATAAACATTAAAGAACAGAAGTTACTCTGAGTTTTCAGTGACATTTCAAATACACACCCCACAGAAGCAAACTTTATTCAAAAGTTCATCTTTGACAAGTGATTAAAAGGCACAAACAGGAAACAGTTCTTTATGTAACAGCAAATTCTACACAGATTTCTAGTGAGTGGCTTTATTAATTTTCAAGATTCCTACCATTAACACTAATGGCTAACAAACGATAATCAGTACAGTAGGTTAGTTTTGTTGACATCCTATAAGGGAAAGGGCAGTAAAGAAAACCATCCCAAAGAACAATTCAAAAGGAAAACAGGATGAAATTTAAGACCCCTCTAACTTCCAAGCATAGCTTACAGCTAAGCAGTACAGTTTCCACACACGCAATCACAGTTAAAGCTACTCAACCAATCATGCCCCAACCCCGAGTTGCAGAAGGAAGCCCTTGCTGCTTACCTCAGATTCAGCCTGGGCTCTCTGACATCGGTACTGAGCCATCAGCCTATCTGCCTGAGCCAGAGCTACTGCCTTTGCTTCCAAAAGGTCTTGCAGCCGAGTCTCTTTAGACTGTATATAGGAAGAACATTTTTCATTCACATTTTCTAGATGGACAGACAGCAAGGTACCCGTACACATTAGGTTGTACTCACTGCTAATGCTGACAGCTTCTGCTCGTAGACATCCATTATGTCAGATATCCTCAGATCAGCAATCGGCTCCTTCATCTGGGGAAATGTTTTCCAGTCACTACTATTGTAAATTTGTATTTACGTAACATTTGCCTAAAGAAGTCAGTAGTTTTGCCAGCTCCACCTGTCCACTACCTTCCTAACTTATTATTTTTATATCTGAGACTGCCTGCTCAAATGCATCCACCTCACTCCAGCAGAATGTTTGTAAATAACTGAACTATTGAGGCTGAACAGGATTCAGCTGCAGAAGACTATCAGTCCAATACTATGAAAAGATAACATCACTGTTCTAACATGGTTCCCTGCGGCCTAATCTTTGCTGGAGAATTAACAATCCCCTCATCGGACACCTAAAGAAATTTGCCCTAATATTATCAGCACGAAACACACATGGCTAAAAATCCTTGTCCATACTCTGGTCTTCTCAAAACACAGAGTACCAGAAAAGGCCCAGGAAAGTTCTCCTGAAAGGACACTATCCAGAACAGAACTTACTGTGTTAAGCCATTGGCTTACTAAAGGAAATTTACCGTACATGGCACAACAAGTCCTAAGTGTTTACTGAAATACATGCCTGAGTCAAGTGAGAATGCTACTCGGTGATTTCAGGATAGTTTTCCTTAGGCAGTGGTACCATGACAGCATTTTGAGCAGCTGTTCATAGATGCTGATGCATGAGCCAGCTATCCCAGCTGTTCATACCACGAACACCTACTGAAAATCTACCATCTCTGCACCATTGGAACCGTTACGTAAGAGGTTTGGGTTTGGGTTTTTTTTGGCATACTAACAGTAACCCCCACATAGCTCCAGTTCTCAGCTCATTTTCCCCTCCCTCAAGTAGGAAATAAGTAGTTTCTTCTCCCATTAGCAAACTTGTCATCTCTATGTCCTTTTAGATATTACTACTATTACTACTATAAAGAAAAGCTTCTTTAGGTTCCCTTCACTCTCTCTGCATAGTAATAGTATTAGAAATGTTTTCTCAGTAATGTCTTTACACAGATTTGAGCTTCACACAACATACGGAATGCACACAGAGATGAACTACTTGATATTTTAAGTGAACGTTTGTAGTGATTTTTAAAGGAACGTTCTACTAAGCAGAAGTTCTAAGAAAAGATTCACTCAACAATTCCTCAATAACTTTCCTCAAAAATCGAAGCAGCTTTACAAGCTGTCACATGGCTGGAAGCCGCTGCACTAGTGCAGTTAAGCACCTGTGGCTGCTTTGACTTACACGCACAGCAGCGCACCTACGGACTGTCACGTGCAGCCCTGGAAAGGAAGATCAATGGGAGCACCTAGCGGCAGAGTACTAAGCCAATGAAGCCTGACTTGACTTTTTTCACTGTTATTCTAGCAGCCGACTGAAACTGGTAGCTTGCTGAGCGAGTTTCATTCTTATCTGTTACAACAGAGGAGGGTCACAAAGCCAAGGCTGGTGGCAATGCCATCAATACAGGTATCAAGCTGTTATCAGACACCTTCTGTTAATTTTCCCAATTTGCATACTGTTCTTTTAAGGAAAAAAAAGCAATCATCATTCACCCTAAAGCAGCTACAACTTGCTTTGAACAGAAGCAGCAATACATTCAGTATGCGACAGCACGGCTCGCAAAGAACCACAGCGTATGTGACACCCGTCTGTGTCTCGCTCACAGTGCAAGTTGCTGCAGAGCAAAGCAAAAACTTTCTTCTGAATAATAGTGCCTTTTCAAGAAGGCCACAAAAACTGAATTGCAAACGCTAAAGAGTCAGCTACAGGCAAGAAGGGGAAAACGCCTGTATGCCTGTTCAGGCAGACAAAGAGATGCATCGTACTCTTATAAGGCGGCATACCATCTCTGTTTTATCACAGGCTCTTTCTTAGGCAGGGCGGGCAGGAGGCTTCTTGTATGTGTCCCAGCAGGTCTAGCAGTTGTGACTGTGTCTGACACCTGCCTCCACATCTGACAGCTGAGAGTGTGAGCAAGCCCACCGGAGAAAGGGAGCTCAATAAGGAGCCCAGCTTCCGGTGTAGCCCAACAAACCCTTGAATTCTGCTAAGGAGCACATTCTAAATAGGTAAGAATCTAAACTGACCTCAACTGATATATGTGCTACAGCTTGACACTTGGATTTTAATTTCCATGCCCATCCCCCTCCCTGTCCTCCAGGTAAAAGTCTCAAATATTTAATAACAGTACATAAATTCTACTAACCTCTAGTCCAGAATGAAGTTTTTGTATTAATTCCTGAATATTTGATACTGTGGATTCATCACTTGAAGGAGAGGACGAAGAACGTTTCGCCAAAGTAACGCTGGTGGCGGGTGGCTGCATTTGGATTCTTTTGGACACATGCTCTGTTTCTTGCAGTCTGTAAGCATTATTTGCTGCAATGCTTTCACCAAGCCTGTGTGAACATGAAGGCCATCAGTGTACCAACCTGCCACAAATATCGTTGCAAGGATTGAAGGGGAGAACGATTTCATAACTAACTTCTCTTTCACTGAAAACGGACTACTGGGAACAGTCACATTTGCATTATCACACAACATTAAGGTCTACTATCAGATGCGTGCCCAAACTGTCCAGAAACATGGAAAGCAGAAAAAAAAAAAAAGAGAGTGAAAGCCTGTCACAGCTAGCCTTTAGAAACAAATGCAGCGCCTCACCAGAAAGGGCATGGTGCTCAGCTCTTCTTGAGCAGAACAGACCACCAGTTTCTTATTAACTTGATCAACAGGTTATTTCACATGTCACTGTTCAACAGAACTAGGCCACTGGGTAGGAAGGTTGAGAAGGTAGTTAGTAAGGATTTATTAGACATAAAAATAAGATTGATGATGAAAAGGCAGAGTGCTACCAATAAACCTCAGTTTTTCCTTGACTGCAATGCTATTTTGCAATCCTACATTTAGCACAACACATTTCGTTTAGTAAGTTTTAACCAAAATTTAAATACACGGATAAAAGTGCAATCGGTTAAAATCTGTACAGGGAAGAGAACACAAGAGCTCAGACATAAGTAATCACTAAAGTACCTATATTCCAGTGTCTGTACATAATTTGTGGCTGGTATTTTCAAGGCAGTTACTGTAACACATTCCAAATCAGAGAGAATGAGAGCTGGTTTTTCACGCACCAGTCAAAAATCTTTTCCTCTCAATAAATTCTTTAATTACTAAGTTATCCTAATCACTTCACTGCAATGCTGCCTGTATTACCCCCTAAGTGAACAGAGACTATTTTTAAATTGCATTTATAGAGATGTTATTTGGCTATTCCATTGTATAACCCCAGGCATATTGGATTGCACAGATCCTTCATTCTTCCATCCACGTTATTTGTTACTGGCCTTTATAAAAAATGTTTGCTGTATCCACAAAATCATGTTACCATACAACAGTCGAGGTTGAAGGGGACCTCTACAGATCATCTACTTCAACTTCCCTGCTCCAAGCAGGTTGCTGAGAACTACATCCAGTAGTTTTGACTGCCTCAAAGGATGAAGACTCCACAACCTCTCTTGGCAGTCTTTTCCAGTGCTTGACTCCTACAGCAAAAGGTGGGTTGCATGTTTTTGTTTTCGGTTTTTTTTTCCCCCTCTTATATTTGTTTTTTCCTTGTATTTCAGTTTGCGCCCACTAGTTCTGAGAAGGCTCTGGCTCTATCTTCTTGTACTGGGAACCTAGACGTAGTCACATCACTGCAGATGTGGTCTCAACAGGGCTGAGCAGAAGGGAATCATAGAATCATAGAACGGTTTGGGCTGGAAGGGACCTTAAAGATCATCTAGTTCCAACCCCCCTGCCATGGGCAGGGACACCTTCCACTAGACCAGGTTGCTCAAAGCCTCATCCAGAAGTAACATTTGCTTTCTTTTAGTCCTCAAGAACTTCCCCCAGTCACCATAACTTTAAAAGACAATCTGGGGTGGCCTTGCACTAACATCAGCCAACTCCTGGGTGCATCCTGTCAGGTCTCATGGACTTCATTATATATCCAGTTTGTTTAAGAGTTCCATAACCTGATCCTTGTCACCCAGGATAAGTCTTCCTTCCTCTAGACTTCCCCATTACTCTCAGTGACCTAGGATTCCCAAAGGCAAATCGTATCAGTGAAGACCAAAGTGAACAAGGCATTGAGTATGTCAACCTTCCCCATGTCCTTTGTCATCAGGTCCCCCACCCCATTCAGCAGAAAGGCACACATTTTTCATTGTCCTTTGCTGCCGACGTACCAGATGAAGTCTGCCTTGTTGCCCTTCACATCTGTTACCAAAGTCAACTCCATGCGAGCTCTGCCTTTTCTAACCTCATCCTTGCATTCTTGGACACTTGCTCTATATTCCTTCCTGGTCAGTTGTGTCTGCTTTCCCCTCTTGTATGCTTCCTCTTTATACTTTAATTTTGTCAGGAGCTCTTTGCAGGTCTCCTGACATGTTTGTTCAATTTCCTGCTCATTGGGATGGACCACTATGGCCTTAAAGAAAATGATCCTCTGGGAAGGAGGAGTGAAGGGGATGGGAATAATCAATGAGCCAGCTCTTCCTGACCCTTCTTCTCCCCAGGGCTGTATCCCATGGGATTGTTTCAAGCAGACCACTAAAGAGGCAAAGATCTGCTCTCCTGAACTCCAAGGTTGTGATCCTACTTTTTGCCCTGTTCCCTCCTCTCAGGATCTTGAGAATCACCATTTCACAGTCTCTGCAATGAAGGATGTCACTGACCTTCACATCACCAAACAGTTTTTCCTTGTTGGTAAGTAAATCAGCTCCAGCAGAACTATCACCAGCTCCTCAATCCTCTGTGTTAGGAAGTGGTCACCAGTGTGCTCCAGAAACCTCCTGTGTTACCTCTCCAGCAGACATCAAGGTGATTAAAGTCTCATACAAGGACCATGGCCTGTGAACTTAAGGCTTCTTCCAGTTGCCTAAAGGCTTCATCTACTACTTCTTCCTGATCCGGCAGTCTGCAGCAGTCAACCACTACACCATTGCCCATTTTGGTCTGGCTCCTAATCCTAACTCAAACTCTCAGCTGGTTTACCTGTCCCAAGGCAGAGCTCCATGCATTCCCTCTGCACTCTCACGCCTCACCTTTCCAGACCATCCTTCCTACTAAAAATCCTGTATCCACCCACTGCAGCACTGCAGTCATGCGAGCCATCCAACCACAGCTCTGTAAGTGCATACAGACTTCCAGTTTCTTCCCAATGCTGTGTGCATTACGTGCAGGCGCTTCAGAGAGGCACCGCACCTCACTGATATCCTAGAAAGCATGAGAGGTTTCTCCCACAATACTGTCCTGTAAGCTGTGTCTTATTTGTGTGCACACTGGGGTGAGCCAGCTTTAGCTTTCTGGTTTTGATTGTGAGGTTCCCCCTGTTCACATAAACCCAAATGCTTTTTCCAACCCAGTCTACCACTTCCTCACTTGACTGTTGGCCATCTTTTCCCCTGCCTTGCCATTTTTCATTTAAACCTCTCTTCATCAGGTTGGCCACTTCTTGATCCTCAGTCTCATGGTCACGGAAATCAAACCAAAACTGTTTCCAACCACGGTTGCACAAAAAATTGTTGACTGGGAGAATTCGTCCACTCTTCAAGTCCCACCCCCACCCCCTGAATTGAGGTGAACATCCTCTGTGCCCCCATGGCTTCTAGCCATCACCATCACAGGAGTCTATGAAAAGCAACTCAAATGCCAAAAAGGCATCTGATCCGGAAGTTGTTTCAACTAGTTCACTTTGGGGTTTTTTGGCTTTTAAAAAGCTCTGCTAAGAAAAAGGGAAGAAATGTCAGATTGGTTGCAAAAATTCTGATATGATTTAAGATTGGTTTTTCCCGTTTTATTACACGGACTCCATCAAATAGAGGTTCTCAATATTTTTTGGCCCCCTCCCCCCAATTTATGCCCCCTTAAATACTACTTGATTTGCCATCTGCCTGTGCCTTATCCTATACTGTTCCTTCTTGAAAGCTACTGCAAAAGGGTAATCAAAGCTTTAGGAACTGAAGAGTGACATGTCTGACCAAGTTCATTAGAGAGAAAAATCTGGCAGTCATAATATTAAACACATTCCAAGTAAAGAGTTTCAAGCACAGTCTTCAGACAAATAAACCCTTAGGGACAGAAGTCAGTCAGTACTATGCTTTCTAAGGTCTGATATTAATTGAATACCATCAGCATTTGAACTACTTCCTCTGGCCTCCAAGATCCCTCCTGTCTCTTGACTGCATATAAAGAAAAAACAAGACAAGTTTCTAAAGTTTCTGTTGTGGATGAACTGAAAGTAATATGCCAAGAAACAGGAACATCACTAAGCCTGTAAAAATGTCAAATCTCACTAGACTATCACAAAAATAAACTTACACTATAGCAGGAAAATCTGGTAAGGGTGCAGCCTCAAACAATATTCTAAGTCCCACCTGGACCTGCTCTCTATGGTTTGATGTTAAAGCAGATGTCAGAGGTATAATCAGACGTTGATCCTAAAAAAACCCAACAAACCAGAAACTATGTTAGGCAAAACAAAATACAATTGTCAATAACGGAAAAAAACACCACCCACACATCACAATATCAAGGGCCATGAGCACCGAAGTGTTTTATTCAAAACTCAGGCTTTCTCTTAAAGTTTGCTCTTCTAAGTTTCTGAGACTGAAGTCAATGGAGAAGTGATTTTAAAAACAGTTTACACTTTGAAGTAGTCAGAAACGTGTTTTCCTATTAAAGCACATGCAACAGGTTGAGAGACTACTTATTTCCTTCAATTTTAAGTGCTTGATTTCCATCGTAAATGGTCACAAGCTTAAGTTCTATAAGGATTTCCTGAGGACTGTGAAACTTATTGCTGCCCCTTAAATTACACAATTCCTTTTCTTGAAAGATAACCCTCCAAAACATCAAGGAATGTTTGACTGTCTGGATTACTTTTCCACCTACAAAGTAAGTTGTTAAGTACCATCTGACCAACAGTTACCAAAAGCTGTTGTGACTATGCAAAGTCACAAGTTACATGTATATATTTAAGAGTAACCAACCCCACAAATATTTGAATTATATCCTTGTGATAACTATTCTAGTTTGCTACCTTTAGAATGCAGCCCTAACGCAGCCTTTAAAAGAATAATTCTTACCGGGCACCTGAAGTATGATTTCACATGCATTACTGAAATAAGTTATTGAGATAAAAGCAAACTGATCTTATTTTAGAAGGTTTAACAATGAAATAACCTTTAAAGAATTGTGCCCAGGGGATACCACTTCAGAGATATGCACACAAAACATTCAGAACTACGACTACTGTAGCACTATGACACTTCCCCTCACAGATATGTTTCATAAGACATTTTAAAGTCATACCTGTAGAATTTTGTAGAAGCTGACCTCCATACCAGGTACATCCTGCTTCAGACTGCTCATAAGATCAAGTGTTTTCAGAATAGTATCAGCAGCAACTTTGCTTTTAGACATACAAATAGAAAAGCAAAGTGGGAGGAATAAATGGCAGAGCAAGATTTGCCAAATCAGCACTGATAAATTCAGGCAATTTAAAAAAAAATTAATAAATACTTTCATAAAGAAATTAAATATCTGTAGCCAGGCAACAATGCCAGCAACAAGAGACCACCAAGTTCCTTGGACATGTTGTTGAACTTCTCTAGCATGCTAAGGATGGCAACAGTAAAGACCAAATAAACACTGAAGTTGAAAGTGAAGAGGGTTTAATCATAGGTCCAATTATATTTCACTGGTTTTTGGCCACATCACTTAGTTATATCAACATTCAGGTTAATGACACTGGGCTGAAGGAATGTATGTTCCATTTTCAGCACAGTAATTCCCTTCCTCTCCCAATATGTGATGTCTTTGAATTCTGCTTGAATAAAAAAACCCAAAACAAAAAATTGGGTGCCACAAGCAGTTCTGATAAGCTTCAACTTAAATAAGCTTGAAGCACTGCATGAGGTTTAAGGTCACTGTTCTACACAAGTGGATCTCCAGCTTATGCCAAAAACAATGCCTGAATGTTTAAGCTAGGTTTTACTTATTGAACTGACCAGCAACACTACTTAATATATTTGTGGCCATAGAAAGTTTGATTCAAAAATAGTATTGATTTACATGCATTTAAGAGGTATTTTCAGCTACAATATAATTCCACCGGAACGATCTCACAACTGTTATATGAGTCTTGCTAAATTAGGTTTTAATAAATCTGTGTGCTCACCACATTTTAGAGTCCACTACTTTTGTCCCAAAACCAGTATCCATGCCACCATAGGTAAACAGGTGTTCTATTAGACACATGCACTGGCTGGCAGTCAGCACCTTCGAGGCATGCGTTTTCAGTACGTCATCTCTAGAGAGCAGTAGACTGAGTTAAGAATAAACTCAATAAACCTATGTTTAGGCATTGGCACCAAAAGGCAGATTTTTATAACAATAAAGGATGCAAAAGTTAGTGTATCAAAGCATAAGAGCCTCCAAAAATGCTTTTAAAACCCAACTACATAAACCACTTAGTCATGCTTAACTCACAAGCCAAGCAAGCTTCTCTTTTCAATTAACACACGCTTACTTGGAACTAGGAAGCTAAGGGAAACCACAATAAAGTGAGGGGCATAATGAAAGATGATGAACAAAAGGCAGTGAAGAATCAGTCTCTAATACAAGAACTAGTTCTCCAGGAGTGAATTAGCAGAGGCTTTTTCACAGAACTCAGCTCAGATGCAGGATTATGTCCTGCAGGCATGTCCTCCTTTCCACATGACACTGTGGACACTAAGGACTCCAAGAGGGATGTAAAACTGTATTCCATATTCTTCTTTCTGGTATCGCTGATTTATATTTATATCATATTTGGCTGGGAGCTGCACTTGACTTAGCTAGGTGAAAATACTACACTGATCAAGAAGGTGGCCACCCACACTCCCCTTGCAATTTCAAGGGAAAACACCCATCTTCATTTGTCATCCGCAAAGTGCTTCTATACTGCTGAATAGCCACCACATTTTACCCCACCCCACTGTATCACACAATAATTTCACAGCGATTAGAAAGCTACTTTAGGTCCTCCAAGATGACAGTCCTAAGTGAAATTAGGCCAGTTACTGTCATTAAAAGCTATTAAGGTGACCCAAGATGGACATTTTTTCTAACATAGAGCAGATCAGGCTGGAGGATTAATAAATCAACTGCCAACAGGCACAAAAAGGATATTTGTCAGAACACAAATAGCTTTGACCATTCTTTCACACTTTTTCTTCACTAATAGCTCATCCACAATCTGTTCTGGCATCTGAATATGATCAAGAAGAACAGGCAGCAAAAGATCCACAAAGTGTTCAGCTGAGGCACTGTTCCCGGTATTAGTAACATCCTGTAATAAACACATTTTATTTTATGTCAATATTTTAAAGTAAAGAGCAAGGAAGCCAAGACTACTCTATCCCTTCCTCCATCAGCCTGTCTTCTAGCTTTCCCAGCCTATGTGAGGTTTAAGACTGCTGATTAGTATCATACTGGAGGATGAAGTTTAACAAAGAGCACAGAAACAGCAGGAACTTCCTCACTTCTGCAAGTCCCAGAGAGCAATTCTTCGATAGCTTTGTACCTACCTCATGACTTCACAAACCGCCATATTTTCCACTTTACCTTCAATGCAGACATATTTCTAAAATACAGCAAGTCTTTAAAAGAAAAGTTGGTTTACAAAGTATGGAATTCTGGAGCAGGAAGAATCTTATTTCAGGTACAGGTTTTACATGCTATTTTTCAAAGAAGATGCTAATAGTCATTTAAAAATCAATTAAAAATGTAACTTCTAAGAAGTTCCTTAAACTCAGTTATCAGTCTCGGTACCTCAAAAATCTCTTTGAAAAGTTGCAATGCTAGAACTGAACAGTCTTCGGAGCCTTCCAATGGTTGGTTCGATAAGTGCACCAATGCAACAGATGGCTGAAAAGTCTTTGTGCGAGTCACAGATCTGGTATTTCCAGAGACTGGCAAGCCAGATGGTTCCAGTATTGCCTGCCGCAGGGTATGACGCAGTTCTATCACAGAACAGAAGGCAAGCAGCAGTTCTAAGATCTGTGTGAAGCGAATGAGAGTTTAAATGCTTTTAAATCAATTACTTACACTGAAATTGCAACTCCCATAGCACAAGTCTAAAAGATATGCAAGTTCTGTGCAACTCCTTTCACACTTTAAAGTTTTCTGAAGAATAGTTTTCTTTCCTTAAAGCCAAGTCAGCAGCAGAAACGCAGTTCATTAGACCGGTAAAGGTTTGTGACAGTATTCAGTGTACTGCTTTCCCCTTTTTAAAAAGGTGTGACTGCTGGCTAGAAATCTAATAAGCAGTAGAAATGTGTATATGCCCAGGATGAAGACAGACATGGAAGGGAAAAGTATTCTGAGACATGAATGGATGCACAGCGCATACTCGTCAAAAAAAAGGAAAGCACCCTGGAAAGCTTTTTGTCAATGTCTAAGAAAAAAAACAGCCAACAAACAATAACTAATCACATACACAGAAACATTAGCACTTATCATTTACTATGATGTGACACACGTTCATAAAGAAACCTTCATTCATAAAGCTTCGTTTCACAGGTGTATTTAGCCCAAATATTTTCACATTTCATATATTAGCCTTTAGCAACAGGTAGACAATGTTTATTTACGTAAGGTGGCAGCGAGATAAAGTTGAATGCAACAGGTAACTGCTTAACCAAACATGGCATCAATTTGTTTGACTAATATCAAACCTATTCCCAAGTCTCCAAGATTAGCATCATGGTCCCCTGATCATCAATTCAAAGTCTGAGTAGTATTAATTCAAGTTTTAGCATTTCTGGTAGATCCCAAAATTTCTTACTAGCCAAAGCACAAAAAGCGTTTGTGTTGGCTTTTTGCCTTTATGTCTGTTACCTGAAAGCAGACACATAACCTGGCAAGAAACCCAACCACTACAAATTCAACCCGAGAGCCTTTTGAGCACCTAGAAAATGTAAACTTGGTGAATACCCTAGGTCACCGAAGAGGCCTGAAGTCAACGTATTTCATTATCAACCCTTGTAAACAAGGAACCTACTTATAACTACAGAAATGGAACTAGATTAAGAGTTGTACCCTCTTTGGTGTAAAGTGAAAAAGTATAGATACCTTAGATGATGAATCGGGATCCCTTCCATGAAGAAGATCTAATACTTGACCAAGGCATGAGGTAAAGTGCTCATATCTACAGCATACACAGAGGAGGAAAAAAAAACCATCATGGAATTTCAACACTCAGACATTTATACTGAGTGATGAATGCAAGTGCCCTATTCTCCTCCTTACCCCCAAACACCTCAAGTACAGCAATAGCTTTAATAGTGTAATTTCTATTTAACATAGACTAAACTTTAAAAATATTCCAAGAATGAAAGCAAATTGCTTAAGATAAGCCAAGATTTTTCAGCTGTTTTTACTGCCAGATTTAGACTCAAATTCAGCAACTAAATTCTGCTAGCTGAATTTGCAGAACAACTGGTCAGCCCATCCACAGAACTCCTGTCATCCACTCCAGTAAAATTATTACTACATCAACCATACTATTCCACTATCAAGGTAATATAAGGCTGTAAAAGGCAAGATAGCTATTCATCAAATTGTCTGACCACCGATACTCTCCGGACAAAGAGTTACTGATGCACAACTATTCAATGTTCCTTAAGCAACAATGAAAAAACCCAGATTTTTATTCACATTTCCATGTGAAACTAGTAACATAAGAATCCTCTAGTTTCAGGTACTGCAATTATACTCAACTAGTAACATTCAAAAAGCATCTAGGGAATTTATTCCAATGTTACATTCAGAATACAAATAGCATACAGCAAAGATATTAGGAAAAATATCCTGTACGTTCAGGAAGAGAAGCTATACCTGGTAAGATAATCTGCAACTTTGGGGTTCTTCAGAAGATCCATGAGTAGATCAACAGCATATTTTCTTGTCAGAGTACCATCTCCATTAACAACAATATTGAATATTAACTGAAACGTCTGATGGATATTTCGAGCATGAAAGAGCTGAAAGGAAGAAGAAAGTAATGTATGGTCACAAACTTACTTTGTTGGGTCTTTTGCTTATTAAAACTAACTAGCATTAGAATTTGGCTTTGCCAGCATGACTGTTAGTTTTATCTACAACTTAGGAATAGAACAGACTTCAAACTGTCACTTACTTTTTCTCCTACTTCTTCATTTAAAGTAAGGCTTGATAATACTGAAAGTGCAAACACAACCATAGTCAGACTACTATGGGCCAGGAAGCTTATTAAAGTACGATAGAAACTCTTCACGTTATTCTAAAGCAAAAAGAAGAAACATAGAACAGAATAAAATTTATAATGCCTATAAAACATCAAACACTGAGTGTACATATTTATAAGTCATACAAATCATGAATAATAATACAAAACATATATTACAGTGACAACTGCTCTCTAGGATATCTATTTTGGTGTTCTGCACAATATTGGTGTTGATGTCAATGACTAAATTCTCTGTTCACCTTGTATAAGGAAAGAAAAAAAATCCCAAGTAAGAAATTCCATCATTATTTTAATGAAAGACGAGAAAGTCCTATTGCTAAAGTCTCTAAAAGAAACCTGCTTAATGATCAGATGTGACAATAGTTCCTCCTTTACCCCCCAGTCCTTCTAAGGTAAACGTACAACATACACTGCCATGTAGATGAGCTCGTATTTCTCAAGTGAAAAATAAGTGGTTTGCACTGATTTATGAAGAAACAGGAACTGGTAGCTCAGATATGGATGACTAATTGAGGATTTAAGGGCTCCGACGTGACATCAAGATCAGTGGTATTTTACTAAATTACCTTTTAAAAAGGCAGATCTCTTTCTTGGCCAAAGTTAATGCAGTTTACAAAAAATCCAGCTACAGTCTTTATATGTTAAGATTTAGTTTTTCTACAGAAGAATGGTCAAATATTAATGTAATCTTTCATTTGCAGAGAACAGTTGCAGAAACTGAATGCCTAACACAAGCTAGTGCAACAACAGAGAAATGTAGAGAAAAGAGAATACCCTACTTCCTGTTCTACTGGTTATTTTCTCCAGTAGGGGGGAAACAACCACCAGCTCTGGAGAACAAACAGGTCAGGGTTATTACTGCCACAAAAAGTGCATAAGAAATACTAAAGTGATTCCCCAGAGTCAAGTTACTCTCTTTTGCCCTCAAGCCAGATAATCATGTAATAAAAAACCCAAAGTTCTTACCATAGATTTTATCTGAGTTTGAATAGATAAGTTGTGACGACACAGATTTGCCAGGAGTCCTAAACAGGGTATCGTTAACTCATCTTCCGTGGATTGACTTAAAAGAAAAGTCCAGAAATTTAAACAAAGATGTTTTTATTAAAGCATCCAGAATTTAGTTAGAATAATCTGTGGATTGAGGGACTTCTGTATTAATTAGACACCATTCTGCCAAGCAAAGCAAAACCGAGATAGCAATCCCCATAGTGCGTGCAGTTTTTAGCTGAGTACATCTGTAAAAAAACAGTGTTGGAGATAAATACAATCAAAGGTCCTTTACTGCAGGTGCTTCTAAGAGTCTCTTACAAGGACATTTGAACAAAACTCGTATTAATCTAACCTAAGTCTGTCCCTAACGACAGGCATGAATTTTCTCCTGACTTCTCTCTTTGTTAGCTCTGGGCTTCTGGAGGTGTGAGGATGGCCTAAGAGGCCAATTAATATCCAGTCACCAGAAGTCCCACCATCACTGCATTTGACACTCTGTAACAACATGTTTGCAAAGAAAAAACCTGTTAACTTCAGAGCAAAAATGTCACACCTCATTCTGGAGGCCAGGTTAGTGCAATATGCTAAGGGTCTTCAGGAACTTCAGAAATTTAACTAGATACTTCCCTTAAGAAAAGACAACAGCGTACAGACTTACACATGATGCGTTAGAAATGAAATTAACTCATCGATGTTGGCACCAGCGCAAAAGACTGGAACATTGTAGGTTAGCCTCTGCAGCAACTGAATACTCTGAGGAAACAAAAAGCTATTCACATAAGTCTTTCCTATAACATTGCACTGAAGAATGTTGCAAGTTACAAAAGCTGAAATTGAAAGGACAAATAACAAGACACCACAACTGAATTAATTTTCAGACTCTCGTGTTAACACAATGATTACACGAACTGCTGCAAGCACACTGCGTAATGCCCTACCACACAGGTGTCCTTATTAAAAAGCCCAAACGGATGAACAAGGTTTTATTGTAACAGGAGTTACCTTTTTAGCCCATCCAATTCTCCCCATTTGCTTTGTCAGCAAGTTCGCCATCCTGTCAGTGAGAAAGGGGCTTTGTTCTATTGAAAGAGCTAGAAAGTTTCTCCAAAACCCAAAAAGCACTTTGCAACTTCTTGTGGAAAGTCTGTTTATAGGAAAAGAGGTTTGCTGTAAAGTCTGCCCAGAGATCTACGGGTAGTAATGCCCTTCAATACAGCATTATTTCAGCACATAACTGAGTTAATATGAAGTTAATATACTCAAACATAAAAAAATCACAGCATAGGACAGCAGCTGAAACGCAAATCTCACTATATGAATATCTGGTAAATGCCTTGTAATTGGATCTACTTGGTGACTACAAAATCTCTCCAATTGATTGGCAAGTTACTTGGATCCCTAAGTCTTCTGGTACTCCTAGTGCCCTGAGAAACAGACAAACTGAGAAAAGTGTTCTTTTACTGGATGCTTGACTCATTTTGCACAGATCAACAGCATGAGAACTGCTAGCAAATTGATTTCCTGTTTTCCCTCTCCAGAAAGGAGAGTTGGCCACAGATAGAGAGCAAGTAGTTGCTGAACACTCAGAACCACATATGAGAAAACCTGTCCACATTAAAAACACCCAAACTCACCCAAATTTACCATTCAATGCACAAAAAGAACAGGTTAAAATTGGCCAAGTCATAATGTCAGATACCATGTGTTCACACAAAAAAATAAATCAATAATGTCTGCACTTGGCTCGTAAGTTTCCATTAGCACAGCCCCTTGAATTCACTGCGGATAGCACTGACCAGAAGAAAGGAGGCATGTGTGCCTGGCAAACCTTCCATGAGAATGGGCAGCTACAGCCTCCCTTTTACTCCTTCCCAATTACCTGTCAGAGTATTGATTAGACAAAACAACCTCCAGGCTTTTGTTACGACCATTAGGAGAAATAACTAAATACCTCAAGTGGAAAATAACCTTCCAAGCTCTCAAGCAGTGATTTCTTGAAATAACAGAAAAAATACAGAGTTCTTTTGTTTACTTGTTGGTTTGGGGTTTTTTTTGTGGTTGGTGGTTGGTTTTGTTTAAATTAGAGGAGGCAAGAAGCACATGCAAGATTAAATAGACAATAGAAAGAACTCTGATGTTAAAATCCTGTCACACTAGCCTCACACAGCAAATAGAATACACAGCTAAGACCAACTTTCCCCTCCACACACTATTTCTGACAGCGCTTTTAAACAGTTATTACATGCATACAGTATAGTGCATACTATGGAACAGTCACCAAATATTATTAAAAAGCATTAGTTCCCGTTACCTGTAGTACGACTGGATCGCTAAGATTAGCAGAACTTCGATGAACAACTCCTGCCAGCACGCTGGTCAGATTGTAGGTATCCTGAAGAGCTTCTCTAGCGTCATTGTCTATAGCTAGGATTTAAGAATTATTAAGAAAAAAAAACTATCTAATAGAAAAAAGCGACTGTTGTATTAGCTACCAAACTAAGCAGAAGCCAAAGTCTCCGACCAGTTTTTTAGGTGTATTTCACAAATAACTATAAGTAAATCACAGCTCCTGTGCACTTGCATGTCTACCTTACTTCTGACCTTAACAGTTAATTGAAACACTAATACTTTTCCTTAGATGCTTAGACATCAAAGAAATGGCCTACCTCCTACCTAGAAAGTTATAGTTCTGTTTGAGAACTCTACACCTGCGCTTAAAAGCTTAGAATCAATGAACTCTGTTTTTTGCTTCCCACTATGGTGGGTAAGTAGACCAAAACTGGTACCTTGGTAGGATTATCTACCAACAATTAAACAAATAAAAAAAAAGCCAGTTCCGCTTAGGCAGTCCTGGAAAAGACGTGGCAAACAAGAATGACAGGTAACACAACAGATCAGTTGGAGGAGGGCTAATTCAAATCCTGAATACAAACTAATACATTGTGAGCAACTATGTAGTGAAGGGATAATCTCTCTCTGTAACCTACATACGTAGGTTATGGGGAGCACAGAGTGCCCTAGACAGTGAGGTCCCACTACTATGAAATAGGAATTTAAAAAAAATAAGAAAAGGCATCTCAAGAAACACATCAGAGGCAGTAGAACCTATTTCATAATCGAAAAGCTAGATGCACAGAGGCCCAGGCCATTGGAGAGCTCAAACTGCTGCCCAGCAAACACTCCAGTGGGAGAGGAAAACTAAGGTGATGACAGTTGTTGATGTAACATGGGTTATCCCTAGGCAGGTTTCTTCATTAAAAAACATCCTCCTTTCAAGCGCCAAAAAATCAAGGACAACAGAATAATTCCTCATCCTACCCAGCAAGGAAACAAATGCAGACAAGCATGATCACTGTCATTTCACAGTGACTATTTTGAATCTGCTTCTGATGGCAATCTAACATCTTGTCTGCCCTTGTACAGACAGGTGGCTCAGGCAAGCACTCCATTACAACTGAAAACACTTTATCTTTCACACCTTACACTTTTCCAAAAAGTTAATCACCCATGCCACGGAATCAGCACCTGTCTTGTCTTCCCTTTCCCAGACCAGAGATAAAAGTTCAGATGTAAACCTTACCTAGCTGTGACAGCAAAGAAATCACAGACAAGGTTAGAGAAGGGTTTATATTAGTGTCCTCGAGGAGTTCTACCAAGCAACTGAGACATTCACTGGGTAGAATCTGGTTTGAAGCAAATAATCGTGTAAGCTTTAGTCCAGAGATGACCTGGAGATGAAGGGAAGAAAAAAAAACAACCTTAATTACTCAACTGCATCCAAGTATTTAACACAGAAGTCAAACCACAGAGTTGTATTAAACAGATTTTGCCCTATTGGACTAATTGAGAATGTAAGTGCCATTAACAGGATACTTGTGTTCACATTTTCTGAAGAAAAAAAAATAAAAAACTAAGCAAAAAATCACACACAATAACAACAAACCCAGTTTTGAAAAAAATACTGGTTTTAATTCCTGTGGTTATGTTCCCTTTACTCCTGGAAACACCAAGTTTATCTCATGATTACTTTACAACATATGGGGCTTCTTTTTTTTGCTTGCTGACAGCATTCTTTTCCATCTCATAGCTGTGGAAGAGCAACAGTTTGTACTTCTTCACACATTCCACTAGACACCTTCCACTAGACCAGGTTACTCAAAGCCTCATCCAGCCCGGCCTTGAACACTTCCAGGGATGGGGCATCCACAGCTTCTCTGGACAACCTGTTCCAGTGCCTCACCACCCTCTCTGTGAAGAACTTCTTCCTGATATTTAATCTAAACCTCCCCACTTTCAATTTAAACCCATTACCCCTTGTCCTGTCACTACAGGCGCTTTAAAAGTCCCCCCCAGCTTCCTTGTAGCCCCTTCAGGCACTGGAAGGTGCTATAAGGTCTCCCCAGAGCCTTCTCTTCTCCAGGCTGAACAAGCCCAATGTTTGAGCAAATTAAAAAATGCATATTCGAGAGAGGTACACTGCAGATTGATGCACTGACTGGGCCTACCCCTTCACAACAAACACCCGGGATTACACCTTGTATGAAACAGGCAAACTCCAGGTACAAGACACGTTCACCATTCAAACTCTGCTTTGAAGTTGTGAAAAATAAACGATGCTTGTGGGTCAGAACTTGGGGAAAGTGAAAAAGAAAGTCCCTCATAAGCCACATTACGTGCTTCGCGTGTGTGCACCTAAACCTACGGCAGACATCTGTAAACACATACAAACACCGTAACACTTCCTAACGAAGGACATAGCGACAGTCCGCCGTTACTGCTGAACTGACAAACGTTCTTCCCCCGACGCCCCCCTCAGCCCCCCGCTCTGCCGCCCGGTCGCCGGGCGCGTTGCCTCGTCTC